GGCCTATGATTTTTGGCACCAATCCCAATGTGTGAGTTTTTTCTCTACATCAAGAAATTCTCTAACACTAGCTGGATGTCCTACAATTCAACTCAATTCTGACACTATTTACCTGGAGATACCATTAGATCCCACAGGATAAGGGCTTGGTCCTACAAGACTGTTCCTTTACCCTCAGGTGCCAATTGTAACTCCAGACTATTACCTGAGCTTCTGGCCTACCAGCTGTAGATTAGAGGTTCCGACAACCTCCTACTTCGGTTCAATTAATTTGTTAGAGTGGCTCACAGAACTCAGAGAAACATTTAACGTACTAGATTACTAGTTTATTACAAAAGGATGTAACTCAGAAACAGCCAGATAGAAGAGATGCATAGGTCAAGGTATGTAAGAAGGGACACAGAGCTATTCTCTGAGTTGTATCCTTTCCCCAAATCTCCAAGTGTTCACTAACCTGGAAGCTCTCCTCACCTCTATCCTTTTGAGTTTTTAATGGAGGTCTCATTACATAGGTATGATTGACTAAATCACTGGACATTGATGATTGATTCCACTTCCAGAGCCCCTCCCCTCCCTGAAGGTGGAGAAGGAGAATTAAAAGTCCCAAACCTCCAATCATATGGTTGATTTCACTGGCAACCAGCCCCCATCTTTTTAGGTGCTTTCCAAAAGTTACCTCATTACCATATAATTAGGTATGGTTGAAAAGGGGTTATTATGAATGTCAAGACATCTTTATCACTCTTATCACTTAGGAAATTCCAAGGGTTTTAGAAGCTCTGTGCAAAAAAATGAGATGAATATCAAATATATATTTTTTATAAATCACAGTGTCTAATATCCAAAATATATAAAGAACTTGTCTAACTCAACAATAAAAAGATAACCTATTTGAAAAGTGGCAAAGGATTTGAATGGATATTTCTCTAAAGAAGATACATAAATAGACAAAAACTCATGAAAAGATGTTCTACATCATTAGTCATCAGGAAAATGCAAATCAAAACCACATGTAATACCATTTCATGCCCACTCAGATCACTATAATCAAAAAGAAACAATAAGGAGTGCTAGTGAGGATGCGAAGAAATTGGAACCTTCCTTGCTAGTAGAAAGATAAAATATAATGGCCGCTTTGGGAGACAGACTGGTAGTTCCTCAAAATGCTATACATGGAATTGTCATATGAGCCAACAATTCTACTCCTGGGCATAACTCAAGAAAATTGAAAGCATATTTTCACACACAAAAACATGTATACAAATGTTTATAATAGCATCGTTCATAATAGCCCCAAATAACCCAATGTCCATCAAATGATGAGTGGGTAAATAAAACGTGGCATATCCATACAATGGAATATTAATCCAGCTATAAAAGATAACGAAGTACTGACAACATGGATGAACCTTGAAAACATGCTGGGTGAAAGAAGCTGGTCACAAGAGAACACATACACAGTTGATCCTTGAACGGCATCGGTTTGAACTGCATGGGTCTACCTATATGTGATTTGTTTACAGTACAGGCCTACAAATGTATTTTCTCTTTCTTATGATTTTCTTAATAATGTTTTCTTTTCTCCAGCTTACTGTACTGTAAGAATACATGTAACACAAGATATGTGTTAATCAACTATTTGTGTTATCAGCAAGGCTTCCAGACGACAGTAGGCTCTCGGTAGTCAAATTTGGGGGGAGTCAAAAGTTATACACAGATTTTCAACGGCACAGGGGATTGGTATCCCTAACTCCCATCCTGCTCAAGGGTCAACTGTAGTATGATTCCACTGAAGAGTAGATTAGTGACTCGGGGGACTGGGAGAGGAAGGAATGGGGACTAACTGCTAATAAGTTCTGCTTTGGGGCTTCTTTTGGGGGTGATGAAAATGTTCTGGAATTAGGTAGTGATGATGGTTGTGCTACTTTGTGATGGTTGCACAACCTTTAGTGATTTCTATACTAAAACCACTGAATTGTACATGTTAAAAGGGTGGATTTTATGGTGTGTGAATCTCAATTTCTTAATGAAAACGAAAGGAAAATAGCGAGGGGGAATTCAGTTACTGTAGTTCAGAGATTCCAGAGGGCACATGTGGAAAGGTTTTGGAGGGAGGGAAAGCATGAGTGGCTGTCTGGATAAAGAAGGAAGGTAACATCTGGGCAGTGATAGGGGTGAGGGGCTGTTAGGCACAGGAGGCTTGGAAGGATAGAAGGGGGTGGGGGTCAAGACTTCTAGGAGCACTGGCCCAGCAGATTCCTGGGTTTGGAGGGATCAAGGCATCTCAGGAAGTCAACAGCCTCTGACTACCTGATAGTGTTGGGATGCAGTACCAGCCCTGGTGACTAAAGGAAGAATAGGGGACTCCCAGGGTGGCCACCTCAGGATCTAGAGATGGGAGTTTCCAGAAATAAGGCAGTTGAGAAAAACAGGCTGGCAATGGGAAAGAGACACAGCACCTTCCTGGGCTTGAATGTGGTTCCTAGATCTTGGACTCCACATTTGAAGTGAAGTTCTGTGAATCCCCAAGAGAAAGATCAGATTCGAAAATACCGAGAACCACTGCACTCTGTCAGATCTCTTTGCAAAAACAAGCCAGAGAAGGTTAGATAAATAATCAAACGGGATCCAGGGCCAGGCGCCAACTTGAGTGGTTATTTCCTGCTGATGTTTATTGAGTTAGGAGCTATTAAGTGAAAATAAGACTATCAGAAACAGAGGTGGTGGGTTTGTCAGGCATTCAAACAGTAATTTATTAGACATCTAGACTCGCCAGGCACTGTGCTGGGAATGCTGGATGCAAACTCAGTACAGCCTCCACGAAGCTTGTAGATTGAGGGGCGGGGGAACCACAAGCAAATCTTTAAGGAAGTAATTACAAAAGAATTCACTGCAAGCATATAAGCACAAGGAAAGGAATAAGGAGCTATGATTCTGTATAACAGGAATTTAACGGAAGCTAGGCGTCAGGGCATTTCTCTGAAGAAATGGCATTTTGACTATCCACCAAAAGGGGGTGGTAAGTGAGGGCAGTGCAGAGGAAGGCCCTGGGGCAGGAAGGAGCTGGAGGGATGAGCGGGAGTTAAACCTCAAGCAGCGGAGAGTAGAGAGTCACAGCTAGAGAAGCAGGAGGAGCCAGATCATGCAGGCATAGGAGATTCTGGGCTGTGTTCCAAGAACACAGGGAATAGAGGGGGGCAACAGAAGGGAAAGAAGGGCGACAGCCAAGCTCCAAGAGGGGGCAGTAGAGGAGAGTGGTTAATGGTTAAGGAGCAAGTAGTCTGGAGGCAGATGGCATGGGTTCAAATCCCAGGTCTTCCACTTATGACTCACGTGACCAAGGTCCAAGTTAGCTAACCTTTCTGTACCTCAGTCTCCTCCTCTGTAAAATGGGATAAGAATAGCACCTACTCCAAAGGATCATATCATAAGGATTCAATGATAAAAGCTTGCCACATACTGAGTAAGGAAGCATTGCTGACCTGAGCAGACTCAGCAGGAGCAACCCTACCCCGGGGACTCTTCCCCACCTCCAGACAGCATTTTTGGGGGGTTTTTTTTTGGTACTAAGAGCTATTGGTATTGAGGAAAGTTTTGGCTTCTCTAGCGGCTTCCACTTTGAAGATCAGAGTCTCTTGGCCTTTGAAGACCATTCTGACAGCATTGTCCTTGTGGCTCTGGCTGTCCTGCGAGCTCCATGAGAACAGGGGCCATGCTGTCCCTACACCAGAGAGCAGACACAGGGCCTGGCACATGGGAGGTGCTCAGTACCTGATAGCGAAATGGATTGGGAATGCATACATGATCGAGCATTCCGTAGGTGAGGGTCATCCCCTCACTGAAGGCCTTAACATAATTTGTTCAATTCCATTCTCACCGCCATCCTGTGAGGAGGCTGCTAGGAGGCTCCTGTGAGGAGGCTACACCTCCAGTAGGGAAGATCTGGGGAATGAGTCCTCTGTGGGGGAGCTGTAGTCATACATCAGGGACTCTAGTTATTGAGAAATGTGTTTAATTTATAGCCCCAAAGAAGGGCTTTTTGCTAGAAGTTGGGATCCTGGATGCAGGAATTCAATTGGAAAGCCAGCTATGCTTAAATAGTTTCTCTAAAGCTTAAGCTGTGTAAACTTTATAGCTATGATCTCATCTTCCTTAGCAAGGCACGGGAGCGACGGGTCATTATACTTGTTTATGAAAGGGAGAAATGGTGCATCTTAGAGAGGCATAGTCCCCACCCCCCTACCCAAGCAGCCTGGCGGGGCTCAGAGCAGAACACGGGAGTCCTCAGTTCCCAGCTGCTAGAACATTCCCCAGCACACCCCCACACCCCATCTCAGAGAAGACAGAGCACAGATCAACTGGAAAGGCCGTGGGAGAACTGCCTGTGATCTTCCCCTGCCCTCTCTGGTTCCAATCAGAGTCCCACACACAGCTTCCTACAGGCTGCTCCCCCCTTCCGCCCAGCCGGCACCTCACTGGCACCGTGCAAGCTGCTCCCTTCCCCAGCAGCCCTGCCGGTTTCTTCTCCAGAGACTATTATTTTGGGAGACTGCTGAGTTCAGCACTGCTGCAAGGTGCAGTCGGAGGAGCCCTTCTGTCCTCAGCTGGCCCTTTGGAGCTGGCCTCGGGGCCAGGGCGGCCCTAAGTGCGGCAGCCCTTCCTGCACAGGGTCACTGCACCCAACCACCGACCGTCCGTCAGCCCCAAGGCTGTCAAGGCAGGTGGCGCGGGAACTGTGGGCAGGAGAAGCAGAGCTGTCTCCGGCGCACAGCCCAGCCCAAGCCCTGCTCCTGGAAAAACAACCAAGGTCTTGCTCTTGCAGGCTCCCCGGAACCCGCCCCCAGCTTAAAGCCTGGGGTCATCAGCTTCCCAGAGTTTGCCTTAAAGCCAAAGAAGCAGGCTGGCCCATGGCCCACTGATCACACACGGGGCGAGTGGTGGGGGACAAGATGAGGATCTGGGTGGGGTGAGAGGCTTATATAAGCCCTTCTGCTTCGCAGCTTGCTCTCTGCCCTGGCAGCCGGGATTAGAGGGCAGCAAAGCCTTGCTCTGACAGAGGAGGGGCCTCAGCCAGGACTGCAAATTGAGCCCGGGTTGGAGTAGGCCCAGGTCCTCCCAAGGTATTTGTGTCCGGGTGGCAGATTAGCTGCGGGAGCCCAGGCAGCTGCCTGCCCTTCTCCTTCTGCTTACCAGAGGTCCCTCTTCCTTCAAGTGAGTCCCCTGGGGTGGGGGCCACAGGGTGAGAAGGGCGCCCCCTGCAGAGGGCCCCGCAGCTCTAAAAGTCCCTTGTGTTCCAGGTATCCATGGGCTGGACAATGAAGCTGGCCACGGCGGCACTGTTTCTGGGTCTCACAATGGTGGTCCCCAGAGACGAGGAGGACGGCGACATGTGTATGTACGAGGCCCTGTCTGACACCGATGCTGTCCTCTGCAAGTAAGGCTGGTGGGGCCCGGGAAGCAACCAGGCAGGGCAAAATGGGGGTTGAGATCTCCAGGAGGGGTGTTTGCAGAACCAGGGAGCATTGTCTCCTAAGTGGCCTTCGTGGGCAGGTAGATAATCACTGAGCCCTGGAGACCACCTCAATGGAGGCCAGCATTAAGGGAAGAACTGGAGACAGGCTCCTACTTTCCAGACGGTGGTCTCCCGGAGCCAGAGGGTATATACAGATACAGTCAGCTCCCCTTTATACTCCAGGGGGGGCCTCCAAACCTGAGGGGCTGGCCTCACCCTCCCTGCTGGCACCCAAGAGAGACCATCCCTCCCCACAGCCTGGAATGCTCCCTTCCCCCAACAAAGAGGCATTTTAAAGAACAGTGGCAGTCCACAGAGGGTGTGGGATTGGACCCTCCCTGTGTGAGAAGTGGCTGTTTGCTTTTCAGTAAGGAGGCGCTGGGAGTGTGGGGCAGGTGGGCCTTTAAGGAGCGTGGCCACTGGGTGTTGTCTAGAGAGGAGGCTGGGCCTCAGAGGCGGGCTTTTTCCCTTCTGAGGACCCAAGCTCCTCCTGCCTGTGTCAGAGTTCAGCTCTCTCCTCACCGACTGCCCATTAGAAAAGCCAGTCTTAATTGTCCTGGGCTCGTGGCTCGTCCTGAGGGCTGCCCAGGCCGCTTTGCTGCCAACCCCTCTGCCAGTTTGGTGACAAAGGAGCCTGGCATCCCACTGAAGCCATCGGAAGTGAGAGAGGAGGGAAGAACTCTTATTTCCTGCTCTGCCTCCTTGGGTACACTTGAATTCTTACAAATGTTAACTTTTAGAAAGATAAATACATGTTTTCCCTGAAAAAGTTAGGTAGTTAAAACCCCTCCCTCTCCCAAAAGCTAACACACATTTTGCTCTGTGCTCTTATCAGTACATTTCTAAAACTCTGGCCAAACAGTTCTAAATGGAGTTTTGAGTGGGAGGAGCGAACACGGCTGCATCTCACATGTGGGCTCCAGTCCTCTAGGTACTCTGCTGAGCGGAGCCTTCCTGGGGGTGGGTAGCCGCTTAACTCTGGTAGGGCAGAAGATCAAGTCCCCATGAGCCCGGGAGGTCAGCTGGGCAGGGCCACAATAAGGCCCCATTATGGAGTGCCTCCGTGCTTCCCACGTTCACTGCGGCACACTTAGAAAATGACCATGTGCGTGGTCACTGGGGGCGGCCCACCTGGGCCCCGGCTGCCCTAGGCTCTGCCCTGCAGACATCCACACGCTGGTGCCCTGGGGGCCTGTGCACTATGGTACGCCTGAGGGCTCTGGGGCATCCATCGTATGCCAGGAGCTCTGCTGGTGCCTAGACTCCTTGGCTCATTTCGCTGTTATCACGAACCCACCAGGTACGTATCACCATCCTCATATTGCAGGCGAGGAATCCCCAAGATTAAAGAACCGGTCCACAGAGCTCACACACCTCGCCAGTGGCAGAGCCTGGATTCAGCCCCCCTTGTTTGGCTCTACACTCAATGCCCTTTCCCTACCCGCCTTTGGAGCTTCTCAAACTGGAGTGAAGGGGAGCTGTCTCAGGGCACTTGGGCTGCTATAACAAAGTGCTAGGGCAAGGTGCCTTATGAACAGCAGAAATTTACTTCTTCTCCTCCTGGAGGTTGCGAAGTCCCAGATCAAGGTGGCAGCAGTTTCCACGTCTGGTGAGAACCTGCTTCCTGATTCACAGATGGCTGTCTTCCCACTGTCCCCTCACACAGTGGAAGGCCCCTCCCGGATGCCCCACCTCATAATGTCATCACACCAGGGGGCTGGGGTTCGGCATATGAATTCTGGGGGAGGGGCAACTGCAACTCACTCCATTACAGGAGGTACTCTCAGGACTCCCTAGAGTCCACCAGGAGACCCCCAGCTTGAGAAACACAAACTTGCCACACTAAGGTTGTGTGCTAGGAGATGACTGGTTATAAACTGTCACTGCGAAAGGGGAGGTTTGTCTTTATTACCTCTGAAGGCCTTTGTTGGTAAAAGATCATCACTAACTGAGAACACATCATGGATACATCAGACCCCTGAGGAGAGATCAGGATGTCCTGTGCCAGGGCCCCCTCACCTGACCTCTTCAAGAGATCTCCCCACCCCCCAAGAAGCCACTCCTCTCATCATTAGGTAGAGTCTAATAGAGAGAGAGAGAAAAATATATATATTATATATATATTTAGAGGGGGGGGCACCTGGGTGTTTCAGTCGGTTAAATGTCCTACTTCAGCTCAGGTCATGATCTCAACAGTTCATGGGTTCAAGCCCCGCATTGGGCTCTGTGCCGACAGCTCAGAGCCTGGAGCCTGCTTTGGATTCTGGGTCTCCCTCTCTCTCTCTGTTCCTCACCCATTCGTGCTCTCTCTCTCTCTCAAAAATAAATAAACATTAAAAAATTTTTAGAGAGAGAGAACGCACACCTGACCACATGCACAAGTGGGGGAGGGGCGGGGGGGGGAGGATCTTAAGCAGGCTCCGAGCTCAGTGCTGAGCCTGATGCAGGGCTGGATCCCAGGACTTTGGGACCATGACCTGAGCCCAAATCAAGAGTCAGACGCTCAACCAACTGAGCCACCCAGGCATCCCGAATAGGGAATTTTTGAAGTCAGGCCTTAACACCTGAGGGTATTAATCTAGAAAGGAGGAAGTTCATGTACAGGGACAAGCGGTAGGAAGACACCGTTAAGGGAAAAGCTCTTCCGGGGTTACAGCTTACCGACCCCTGACAAAACCCTGAGATCAGAACTCAGGTTCAGTCTCAGCAGCGAGAGAACGACGGTCTAACCCACACCCTGTGGGTGCGTCTATTCAACAACGCCCTCCTGCTGCGTCAGCTCCCCTGGCTGGGAGCCCCCCCGTCCCCCCCGCCCGCCAAAGCCCTCTGGCCGGGGCTGAAAGCCCCCCCCCCCCAGAAGCTGCATCCCCACTGGAGGCAGGGGTTGCCTTTCTTTAACTTCACCCCATCCCGTCTAGTGTTGTCCTGCACACTGCATGGAACGAGTCTACCTCCTCTTCCTCTTTTTTTTTTTAATGTTTATTTATTTTTGAGAGACAGAGAGATAGAGCAAGAACAGGAGAGGGCAGAGACAGAGGGAGACACAGAATCTGAAGGGGCTCCAAGCTGTCAGCACAGAGCCTGATGTGGGGCTGGAACCCACGAACTGGGAGATCATGACCTGAGCTGAAGTTGGACACGTAACTGAACCACCCAGGCACGCCTAGTTTCTCTTCCTCTTGAGTCTCCTTCAGACGTTGGGGGGTTACGCTGCCTGCCTCCACCCGCAGCTCTTCTCAGCTGGGCTCCCATCTTCATCGTCAGTTCCTCCTCGGGGGGCCTTGGTTCTGGGCCCCACTTCCGTGAGCAGAGGTTGGAGACAGGCCCATTGCTCTTTTCCAAAGGTGGCGCCCCACACTTTGACACCGAGAACTGTGTGCCCACCGAGCCCCCTCGGACCTCTGTCCAGGTAGCCTCACCTCCATGGGCCTGCTTGTCAACCTCGCTTTTAGGCCACTGGAATTCTGAGCCCTTTCCACAGGTATAGCCCGGGAGTCGTCTCTCTCTGATCCACATCTTACAAAGCTGAGGGTACTTGGGTCACTACTAGTCGGAAGCCTGGAGACACGGAGTGACTCCCTAGGGAAGCTGTGTGGCGCAGCAGATGGCAGACAAGCCTCTGGAGTAGTTCTCCACCGCTGCACAAGTCACCCCAAACGTGGCGGCCACTCACACTTGTTGTGTCCCATTTGCTCTGGGCAGCGCCCGGCTGGGCAGCAAGGGCTCACCCGCGGCTGCGGACTGGCTGGGGCGGGGTGCTCTGCTCCCGAGCTCGCTAATGTGGGTGTTGACAGGCCTCGGGCCCTTGCCATGTGGCCTCTCTGTGGGGCTGTTCACCACACAGCAGAGGCTTCCCACAGAGCCAGGATCTCAGGGGCAGAGCCTGTGAGACAAGCCACAGTCTTCTTATAACGTGATCTTGGAAGTGACATCCCGCGCTGCTGCCGGATCTGCTCTGTTAGAATCAAGTCACTAAATCCAGCCCCCGCTCAAGGGGAGGGGGGCTCCCACTAGGGTGGGAGGACCAGGAGGCGGGGATCTCTGGGGACATGACGCTGGCTGCCTGCCACACCCATGTCCCTGTCCCCGTAATTCACCAACGATGAGACCCTGTGCTAGTTCCTTAACTTTCTTTTGGGCCTCAGTTTACTCATTTGGGAGATAAGAATAATGATAACAGCCGCTTTGAGGCATTGTAGGAAATGAAATAATGCCCATCATGCCATTCCCTTCCCTCCACCCCATCCCCCACCCCACCCCCAAAGCAATGTGAGATAGTGACCACGCTGGGACCAGAGCCCCCTGCCCCTTCTCCCGCCCTCTCAGGTGCCTCTTGGTCTTGTGAAGTTGACCAGGAAATGTCCCAAATCTGGGGATGGAGATAGAATGTGTCCCATGTGAAGTACCCCACGAGCAGGAAGGGCACTGCAGGAAGATGGCACAAGGTGTCAAATGTATTCTAACTAAGTTTAATTTTGGATTCAGTTCATCTCAGGCCTGTCCAGATCTTTCTTTAGGCTGATTTGATCATCTGTTACTTTTTGTTTTTACGTTTATTTATTTTTGAGGGAGGGAGAGAGCGCGAGGGGCAGAGAGAGGGAGACACAGAATCCCAAGTAGGCTCCGGGCTCTGAGCTGTCATCACAGAGCCCGACGCAGAACTTGAACTCATGAACTGTGAGATCATGACCTGAGTCAGAGTCGGACGCTTAACCAACAGAGCCACGCAGGCACTGCAATCATCTGTTAGTTTTTTTTTTTTTTCTTTTTAACATTTATTCATGTTCTTTGAAAGGCAGAGAGAGACAGAGCATGAATGGAGGAGGGGCAAAGAGAGAGGGAGACACAGGAACAGAAGCAGGCTCCAGGCTCTGAGCTGTCAGCACAGAGCCCAATGCGGGGCTCGAACTCACAGACCGTGAGATCATGACCTGAGGGGAAGTCGGCCACTTAACCGACCGAGCCACCCAGGCGACCCCCATCTGTTAATTTTAATCAACGACCAATTTGATCGTTGTTATTAATCAACTTTGTGCCACTCACAATTCAAATAAATTTGCCTTCTGTGTCCTGATCCAAGCCTTTGGTAAAACTGCTGAACAGAACAGAGGCCTGCACACGGCCCCCTGGCATGGCCTGCTGTGTGGAGTAACATGTAGTTTTCAGATGCTGGGCTGGCAGCGCCCTGTGGTGTGACAGGGGCTGGCGGCAGGGACCTAATCCCTGGTCCCCTGGCACCTACCCTTTAGGTCCACTCACCAAACGTCAGCTTGCTGATTTTGATTAACTGTTTAAACACTTGCAGTAATTCTACCAGGATAAAATAAGGAAACCCGTTCGTTTCCTGGGAAAGGCCTCTGTGTTCCTCCGTTTCCATCCTGCCTGCCCCGTGGCCGTTCCCAGTCCGGGCTATGTGCTGACTCTCCATCTCTCTGCCAGTGGAGGGTCCCCTCTCTCAGCCTTGGGTCTCGCCAGCTGCAGTGGCAGGGAGCTGTTTGGCAGAACAACCAAAATGTTGCCAGGAAGAAAAATGAAAACCCGTCCTCTAAAACTTGTTCAAAAGCCATTCAAACCATGGCCTCCAAAGGAATTACTGTAAACTTGCCAAGAGGTAGAAGAAAGAAGTGTGCTCAGCAAACTGGAAGTTCAGCTAACTGGCCTGGGGCTGGCTTGTGGGGGGGGGGGGGTGCTGGCCCACAGGACGTCCTGTGTCTGCTCGGTGTTGTAGGCTCTGGCCCTCAGGAGCCACTGGAAGAGTGGGACAAGAGGAGAATGTGAGTTCCCTCCCACTGGGAGGCAGGCCTTGCCTTTCTCCCTGGGTCCAGAACTCAGGAGCTCCCCCTCCGGATCTACTCCCCCATTATATTCGCACCGGGTCTCCTCCAGGCATTACCTCCAGCAAGGGAATCATGGCCAGCTCTGGGTGACCACTGGCAGGGTGTGGAGCTGGTCAGCCAAGCTGGACTTTGGGCAAGGCTAGGAATTCACCCCTTCTCTGTCAGCGAATCATCTTAACCCAATGCACCCTATAGAGATCCTGGGTCTTGGTGATATAAAGTGACAGAAGGACAGAGAGGAAGGGCAAGGTTTTTGTTGTTGTTGTTGTTGTTGTTGTTGTTGTTATTTTTAAATATCTTTTTGACATCCCAGCCTGGTATACATCCCTGAGGATCAGATACAGGTAAGCCCTTAAGGCTAACCCTGGTGAAATTATGGGATCAGCCCTTCCAGTAAACTCGATTCTCAGAGCATTCTTGCTGTTGAGGCCTTCTTTGCAGGGAAAAAAATAGATAAATGGATTCGTACTACAGTCTTAGTGACCAGATATTTTACCTCCTAGGAGATATTTGCCTTTTGAAAGTGCAGGGAATGGTAGGTGGAGAGCCTAGGTTATTGGGCAATGCTTGACCCAAAGATGTGGATTATTTAACTATTGGTGAGGTTTCCAGACATACAGAGGATCTTGATTTGTTTAGGGTTGACGAACGTCTGTGCCCGTGAAGAAGGATGTGCTAATTTGCTAAACCTTTCTTGATGTAAAGAGAACCTCCCCGAAAAGCAATGTGCAAATATTGTTCTTATAAACGCAATCCTACTTTAAAGACACGGACCAGGTTTGTCTAAGGATGCATGCTCTTTTTGAGAAGTCAATACAGATGATAGTTCACACTTTCTGACCACTGACGACTTGCTGGCTCTGTTGTAAACTTCGATCACCTACTTTACTCCTCACACCAATACTTCAGGGGTGTCCCCATTCTACAGGGGAAGAAACCGAGTCACCAAGAGGTCAAGTAACTCTCAGGTCACACCAGTCACGCTAGTTAGTGACCACTACTAGTTGGTAGCAGGCCTAGGATTCCATCCCACTTGACTCTACATTTCCAATGGGGCTAGACTGAAGGCTTTGAACCTGCCAGACTCCCCCTGACTATCTCCTTCTCTCCACAGGGGCCTTGAAGTTTTCTACCCAGAACTGGGGAACATTGGCTGCATGTTTGTTCCCGACTGCAACAATTACAGACAGAAGATCACCCACTGGGATGAGCCCATTGTCAAGTTCCCTGGGGCCTTGGAGGTGAGTGAGCAAAAGCCTGGAGCGGGAGGGCCGTGGGTCTTGGTTTCCCTCTGAGCTTGCTCATTTGTGTGACTTGAAGCAAGGCCCTCTGGGTTGGGTCTGGTGGTACCAGGTAGCTGATGCCATAGGATGCGCCTGCCTCAGAGCAGCCCCATGGCCTTGGAGGAGGGTGGGGTTGGTTGGAGGGGGCTGCAGACCGGAAGCCTTAGTGGGACTGTGGAGCAGCTCTGCCAGGATCTTTCCCTGCTCCTGCAGCTCCTGGGCCCCAGAGCCTGGCTCGTCAGTTTATGTGGAGACCGGCTGATGTGTGCTTTGAAGTCAGCAGAGAAAAGGAAGAGAGAGGGGGTGTAGGGAGTCCTTTTCAAGGTTCAAGGTGGCTGGCGAATGGGGAGGAGCTAACTAGTAATGAGCAGGGCTTCTCATGTAGCTAAACAAGCAGAACAGTGCGCCTTGACTCCATCGTCGCAGTATGAAACACACCGAAACGTTTGCTCAAACTTGTCTGAAATAGAAGATTGAAGCTCTTTTAGGAATTGGAAATAACTATTCTTTCTTCTAGGAAATGGTTAGTACTATCTTGTTCTGGAAGCTTCCCTTGGTTTGGGGATGTAGTAAGCCTGGGGCAGGGCCGTGGAAGTAGAAAGTGGACTGTGGCTGCCGCTCCCACTGGCCAGAGCATGTCCTGGGGGAGCTGCTCCAGTGTTCCGGTCACTGTTTCTCTCTTCATTGATTCCTGGGTCACACTGAGCCCCCACAGTGTCAGGAGAGGATGGCAACCTTGCTTTGTCTGCTGTGTTTTAGTAGGAGATGCCAATATCAACCTACATAAAGGACTGCGATGTGTCCAGGAACCAGGTCACAAATGGGTGGAGGCTGAAGGGCCATGGTCAGGAGGTGACCACATGCACACCGTATGCACAGCCTTCTGGTCCCCTTTGTGCACCGTGGCAGGGAGAGGCCACCGCCGGCTCTTCCCCTCTGTCAGTCCAGGCCTGATAGCAGTGACTACATAAACAACAAAATAACAAGTTCTGGGGCAAGGGAATTTGCAAGTTTACTCAGATGTGGAGGGTAGATGCTTCTCTTTCTTAAACTGTTTTCACTATCAGGGAACCAGTAGATTGTGATGTGTCTCACAATTGATGAGATTGAAAACATGAAGCTTTGACAGGCTATTGTGTTTGCAACCTTGAAAAACATCCTTTCTTCCGGGAGGCTAAGCAAGCAAGTGACGAGAAGGCCTCTGAGTCTCTCTCCCTCAACCCTCCCAAGGCTCACTCACATGAACATGCATGCACGTGAACACACACACAGGCACATGTCAGCCCTCCTCCCTTGGAGACCTCTGGTCTGGGGCACACCAGTGGACATGTGGGAGAAGCAGAGGAGATATAGGCCACTGTGATTCTAACACTTGGAACAGGAGGTGGAGGGCTGCGGGGAAGGAGCCCAGTCCTGTAGGGAAGAGTATAATGCTGCCCGGTGGGGACTAGATGCTTGACCTTCACCATTAATTCACGTGTCCTTGGCTTTGCCACTGAAAAGTAATGAGATCAACCACATTCTCAGTCCAGTGACTGTCCTAGGAGAGATTCTCAGTAAAGGACTCCATTCCGCCTGATGTTATAGCATATGTCCACTAGATGGCAGTGCAGACTTTTCTGAGTACCTGGCGTACTTGGTTTGAAGCAAGTTTGGGAAATCTTCATTTGATTCCTTTTAGTTGACACCGATTGTCCTGGGGTGTGGGCATATAATGAAGAGAAAACATCACTCCCTCCAGATCATGAAATTTCCCACCCTGTCTCAGTCCAGAGGTGGGGCAGGACAGAAAACCTGGAGACTTATGAAGGGCAAGGACTGTGGTTAAGAAAGCCAAGGAGAGTAGAGATTTCACAAAGAAAAAATTGGTCAAAGTGGTAGAAACAAAGGAAGGAAACGTAATATTCTACTACTATAGAACTAGAGGGTTTTGGGGTTTTTTTTTTTTTTTTTTTTTTTGTTTTTTTTTTTGTAAATTTAACTGACATTTGACAAGGCGATTCAGGGTTATCAAAAAACACCATTAATCGAGTGGTACCCACTTTATGCTGGGTACTATTTGTGTGTCATTTCATTTAAAGTTTTCATCAAGTCTGCAAGTGAAGTAAGTATCTCTTTAGTTGAGACTGTTAGTGATGAGTGACGAAAGCCAACTCTAACCGGCTTGTGCCAAAAGAGGGAAGAAACTATTGGTTCACAAAATGAAAACTCCAGGAATAGCTTCAGGCATGGCTGGATTCAGGTGCCCGAACAATGTCACCAGAAATCTATTTTTCCCTTCCTCTACTTTTTTCTATGCTGGTTTTATGCGTAAATAGACTCTCCTTGTGGTGGCAAAGACAACCCCATTAGCTTCAGATTTGTTTTACTAGTTTATCAATCCCAGTGAAAATAGATTGACACTTTTCAACCATTAAAAATCCCAGGATTTGTCCTGCTTAGATCACATGCCTATCCTTGAACCAGTGACCTTGGGTAACCCCACTAAATCTACAAAAGCTGAGGGCAAATGAGGATGGTTCCCCCAGAGGAGACCACTGGTAAGGGCTCTCAGCAGAGACACCAGGGCACTGGCACAGTCAGGGGATGGGGGCGGCGTGGGGGCGCTTGCTGAATGGAAGCTTTCTTGGGACAGAAAGCAGTGTTTGCTAAGGAGAGTGGTGGTGAAGAGGTGGAGATAGGCCAGGGGTAATGAGAAATGATATGATGGCTAGAGCTTCCCTTAAGGTGTCGAGGGAACAAACACCTCTACAGAGAGAGAAACTGGAACAGTTGGAGAGGAAGGGCTGCTCTCTGGGAATAGGGTCTCTCAAGAGTGTGGGCAGGGGAGCCCGAGTCCTTAGTGACAAAGCATGGGATTGAAGGCATTTCCTCTGGGCCCGGGGCTTACTGAGAAAGGACAAGCAGGTTGTGACTGGCTATGTGGGGATAGTGCCTTGCTTCAAAGTGATTAAAGCAATGCCACCAAAGCAGCAGCTGCCAGTGGACATGTCTTGGGAGCCCCCCACCATCACCAAGCAAACCCTCAGGAGAGGTGCTGTGGGCCTGGGACAGTGCCTCTGTGCCTACTAGAGGTCTTCCTGCCTGTACGTCTTTGTTCAGGCCACTTCCCATATTTGGACCCTGCCTACTGGGACACCCTGCCCGTACCAAAATGCTGCTGCATCTAAGAAGACTTCCCTATCTCTCTCTTGGCCCTATCCTCATCCCTGGCTGGTGTCTTCTATCTCTGAACTATCTTAAAAAAAATTTTAATGTTTATTTATTTTTGAAAGAGAGACAGAGAGACAGAGCATGAGCAGGGGAAGGAAGAGCACAGAGAGAGAGGGCGGAGGGAGACACAGAATCTGAAGCAGGCTCCAGGCTCCGAGCTGTCAGCACAGAGCCCAGGGTGGGGCTCGAACACATGAACCACGAGATCATGACCTGAGCCGAAGTCAGACACTTAACTGACTGAGCCACCCAGGTGCCCCCTCTCTGAGCTTTTTAAATACCCCCTACCCATCAGACCTAGAGTTTACTTCCTTCTGTCTTGTATTGTGATTGCTTGTTCATATCTCCCATAGCCTTGACAAGTTTGTAAGCTCTAGGAAAGCAAGACCACCCACAGCCCCTACCAGCATTGCAGGCCCCATGTTGACTGACTAGGTGAGGGGGTGAATAAATGAATGAATGAGTGGCTGCTGGAAGGATACCTCCTGGAGTGTGGTGAACTATAAGATGTGTGAGTCCCATGGTTTGCCTTTTAAGCTGTTGGGTGTCCGGGGCAGCCTGAAGAAAAGCTGCTGAAGCCAGTACTAGTCTCTTCTCTACCCAGGGCGGGGGTGGGCTCAGGGTTGGGAAGAGGAAAGCCAGGAGAGAAATCCAGTGGGTTTTCCAAAAGGCAAAGCAGTGCAGGGAAATATGGATGGTCCCTGTGCCAACAACCCCAAGAGTTAAGAGAGGTGTTGAAATAAGAGGAAGCTTTCTCCCCTGGTGCTTTGACAAACATTAAGAGGCAAGCGTCTTAAAATGCATCCCTTCTCAAGATGATATAAACCGAAAGGCCCCTGAGAAGCTTCTTGACTGAGGCCTATTCTTCACCTTGAATTTAACCAGCTGGAGTCCTTTTGAAGTGAAGAAATTACCTTTAAGTGGGGAATGTGCATTGCATTAGAGAGAAGGAACAAGGAGTCCTGGGGTCCCTCAGGTTTCCAGGCAGGCTTGGCTCCTCTCTCCGTCCCAGAAAGCAGGCAACTCTGAGTATCCTACAAACAGACGGGACAGGCAAAGCCCTACCCCACCCTGGGCCTGTAGGGTCTGTGTTACTGCCTCCTGGGGGGCCACCTCCTTGCCCTCACAGGCCCAAGGTACACACGCAAGTCTGGACACATGTGGTAGAGTCACAGACTCTCCTTGCTGCAAGAGACCTCAGAGCTAACTAGTCCACTTCCCATCCTTCTCTTTACACACAGAGCAGAAAAATAGGGGCTGCTGGTCACAAAATGATTAGTGGAGGAGGGACATGGGGCTCCTGACACTCAGAGGAATGCTGGGTAGAGCAGCCCATGAGGGATGGAGCAGATTCTCTCCTTCAGGGAAAGAAGGGGCAGAGGAGGAGCACGCATACATGCCGGGGGTGGCCAGGCATAATTCAGCGTTAGGAATACGAAGTGATGCACTTAACAAATATCTATGGAACACACAGACACCATGGTAGTGCCTCAAAGTCAAAAAACAAAAGGCGCCACCATGGAGCTCCCAGCCTAGGTCGGGAGACAGAGTCGCGTGGTATCAGTGTTGCGGTGGACGAGCTGCGGTTACCATTGGGCAGCCAAGCTGAGTCAGTCTGGGGAGGCCTCCAGGAGGAGGTACCCGGAGCTGAACTGCAGACAGTGAATAGGCAGGGCATGGGGGTGGGGGGGGCCCAGATGGCCGGGTGAGGGAGGAGGCTCAGGAGAGGATAGGGCCACTATGTA